AACTTACACACCTAGCCCTCCAAATACTTCTAGCCCACCTTCTATCAAATTCTACCAACTTGGACTCTTAAAGAACAACTATATCAAGATTTTCTTGTCTTGGTACCTCCGTGATAATTGCCATTTTTCTAGCACTCCCTAGTCTTCAAACATTCCAGTTAATAATCTTCATTTTCAACACTTTATTATTTTTTTATCAGCAACACAGAAAAGATTCATTAATTAGGAAAATCAAGTACAACAAGAAGTTGTGGGCGGACAAGCAGTCCACATTGTCCCACTAAATACATCACAGCCCCAAACAAACCCAAAAGACAATCCCTTTAATTACAACGCAGCCCAAAGGATAATCCAACAGAAACATCCTACTAACTAGAACATAGCCCAAAACATAGATTGTCTTTTAACTCCTTGCTTAGCTAGACCATCAGCCATGCTGTCTGATCTTCTAATCCATCGTATTTGAATCACCATGTCTTTAGAAGCCTGTCTGAAGTGCCTGAACTAATTCCTTAACTGCCAAATAATTCCCTCACCTTTCTTCAGCCAGTTCACCACAGTTTTTGGGTCCCCTTCAACAACCAACCTATCAATCCCCATTTCTTTGGCTTTTTCAACACCAACACTGCTGCCTTCATTTCTGAGCTCACCACATCACCATGCTGAATAGGACCTGAGAACATGCCTAGCATATTTCCATTCTCTTCCCTTATTACCCCACCAATGCCCGATGGCCTTCAACACTTTATTTTTTTATATTGTTTATCCTTTTAAGAGTTTAAAATATTAGAACGTCAACCATAGTTTATTAAATTATGAATAATTAAAAACACATCATAAAGGAAAATAAGGAAAACAGTATCTACAATGATAAACTAAAAACAATAATGTCTTTCAAGAGAATGTTATCATATTAAAATAAACTATTTTGATGATGCCTATGCACTGTAAACTGGAAACCTTACATTGATATTATTTACTATTTTAATGAACCGAGGAATCTGTCAAGGTATACTCAAGTTTTTGTTTATGTTTTGAACATTGTTTAGAAAACTAGATTGGACTGGCCAGTCAAACCGGTTAAGTCGTTGATGTAGGACCAGCTCAATTCTAGTCCTTAGAGAATGTTGAATGGCCTTCTTTGATCAGAAATTTATGGGCGTTGATGGTTGTAATGGCTTCTTGAAGGAATAAGAAAGAAAATAGGAAGAGAAAGAAGAGAGAAAATATCCGGAATCACTCACAGGGTGCCTAGAATCACTCTAGGGTATAGGAAATTAGGAATCACTCACCATAATTAGCACGAGCTGAAGAAAACTCAATAAACTCCATTTCCCTTTGTGTAAAACGTCCATACATATTTATAGACTCTAAACTCAATAATCCTAGTAGGACTCAAACTAAGTTATCATATCATATGCATCATCACAGTTCAACCTCCGATTTGACTGTGCTTGAACCTCTGACCAGTGAACTTCTCCCTTTTCTGGTTCTATGTCTAGTCTGGTTCTCTGAACATTGGTTTTGAAAATGGAAATGGAAATAGATTAATATTTCATTTTAGTACCTGTGGAAATGAGAATATTAGGAAATATGTGGATGCTTCAAGTAATAGTTTTATCGACATGAAGAGCAAAATTGTGAGACTAATGTGGGTTCATACAAGCAAGCATTTGAATGTTTTAACTTGCAATGTAAGTAATGGAATGCTACAAGAAAGAATCAATGTCCTAAATGAAAAAATATAAAAAATGATTTTAAGTTGGAGTCTAGATCAAAACAATGTGTTTCTATTGGAAGGCTAGAGGTGGAATTGGGTGGAAAAGGAGGAGAATCAGAGTATTGTCTTAGGACCTATCAGTGTACAGATTTCAATGCTGACAAGGACAACCTTCATGCTTTTGGTCCTTCATTTGGGCAGGATGTACTGTTGACTAGTAGTGTTGCTAGTATTCCTTTAGATGTGGAGAATATTGAAAAGGATATGCCTTCCGGTAAGGGGTGTCAATCATTGTGGGCTTGACAAGGATCAACTAGCATTCACAACTCTTTTGTGAAAGGTCCTATTCAGAATAACAAATATAATCATGTATCCATGGAGTATACAAAAGAATCTGAGATAGTTCTTGTTGATATTTCAGTAAAGCCATCCAAATTCAGAAGTTGAGATAATTGGATATAAATTAGATTATAATAATAAAATACATATTACTAAACTAAACTATTCATTTTATTAGTTTATATACTAGTTGATTTTTATAATTTTCTTATTTGTTAGGGTTCAATCAACACATGTTGGTTATTTGAACCCTCAGAGACTTCAAACCCTGAACCAATAAGCAAGGAAAAACTTAACCCCCTGCCTAGCCTCACCTTGGCACCTTGAATCATTTCAGATGATGAAGACTGAGGAGTTTGCTAGGGAAGTGTTTATGGAATTGGAAGAAAGGGGCAAGATTATTTATCAAAAAAAGGAAGAGACAAGATTTGGTATCCTAAAGACAATGAGACAATGGAATAATAAAACAAGAATATAGGTGTTAGTGATCTAGATATTTTAGGTGTAACAAGGAGATGAAGTTTTAGGATTTTATGAGGTGGAAGGTTTGTTGTTAGAGGGGTGGAGAAATTTAATGGGTTTGTAGCAATAATCAAAATGGGAAGGATGATTATGGTAAGTTAAGAAGGTCAAGAAGACAAGTTTATGATTGGTTCAATTATCCTTTTCAAATTTTCTGAAGGTGATTTATTAGCGTGAGATGATGATTTAGGGTGTTACTTGTTGAAGTTGACAATGGTTGATATGTTGTTGATTGCGGATTGCAGATTGGAGTGCTCTCACTTTATGTTGTTTCATAAAGTTTTGCATTTGAAATTGGACTCTCTAGGGAGTGTCAGTTCTTATTGGGAATGGTTGGAGTAACTTGCTTTCTATCCTTTCCTTGGTGATTTCTTGTCAGCTGTTTCTTGCATTGACCCTTTTATCTAATGAAAATTTCTTTATTTTCAAAAGGAAGATCATTCTTTTATTGCCTTATCTATCCCACCACTTACCTACATAAAAATAAATGCATTGCAAAAAAATAAAATAAAACAAAATTTTCTATCCAACAACTATTTTCTAGAATGCCAGTAGTATGCATTAATTGTTTTAGTATGACGATGTTTAATGGTTCACAATGCGTTCATGAAGTCTTAAGCATTAAGAGAACACCATGTATCATACTGAGATACCTAAAAGGCGCTATATAGTGGGGGATACTTCAATTTCTAGTGTAAATTCTGTATCCAACACTATACCCATCCATGTCCTTGTTGTATCTAGGTATCATAAAACACCATGTGGCATAGCCTTAGCCAAATGGGCAAGAGAATGGCATAATAAGGATCACCTACCATGGAGGACTGACCTCATAATATCATTTCTCTTTCTGTTGTCCCATTACCTATTAATACAAGTCACCTTTTTTCCTCCATGTGTCCAGATCCACTACATGAAAATGTCAGAATATGCTTTATGGGAGAAACAGTTTTGACTGTTCATCAATGTCTTTGTTGTATCTAGGTAACATAATGTAGTGTAAGCTAGCAGTCTTAGCCATAAGGGCAAGATAATGATGTATATGAGGATCACCTACCATAAAGGACTGACCTCATGATATCAGTTCTTTTTCCATTTACCCATTTCCTACTACTACAAATCACCTCTTCCTCCAGGTGTTCAGATTCACTACATAAAAATATCAGTGCATGATTTATGGTTGTAAAAGTTTCCATTGTTTGTATTAGTGCTTCTATTGGACTTTGAGAATTAACTAACAGTTTTTATTGTTTGTTTTGACTGAAGTTCCACATGGATGTTCCATTTACCTATCCTTCTCATAATCTCATTACAGTAAGAAGCATTATCAGAGTTCCAAAACCCTTGAAGCAACCATATACCATAAATGCTTACCCAGCTTCCTCAATGCACAGTGAACCTTGAATTCATATTATAATTATCATGCACCTTAGCAACTCCCTGCCAAATTCTGAAATCTGGATCTAATAGAGACACTTCTACAACCCCAGTCAAAACAATACTCCAGTTCCAATCTCTGCCACCATAGGTCCGTACATCAGATTAAAATAACCTTCTGCTAACAACATTAGCATGATACATATTTATATATAGAACGAACTTTTTGTTGATTACCTACTTTGTTCAAGAGATTCCTTTCCAAACACAAATTCCAAAGATATTCACTACTTTGTCTCTGGTGCTAATTTCTAAAAGGCAATATCTTCTAACGAGTCTGCAAAATTGCTTATAGTTTTGAAACTATAATTTTTTCAGACACAATTAATGATTGATAAAATCATTTTGAAGCTCCAGCTAATTCAAGAACTAAATATTCAAAGCTGGTTCTTGAGTGAATCTTAAAAGGGCATAACATGCTTACCACTTGATCCTAAAAACTAATAAAGAAAGCGGCATTCTCTAGGTTAAGTAATTCACTTTTGTGCAACCAAACCCATTCGCGCTGCAATCCTAATGGCCCTAAAAATAACGTTCAGGACTCTAACCACGAGGTTTAAGACCTCAATCACATCAGTAAGGAATCAAAAACGAACTCAGGATTCCTCTATAACAAATTTATTGCTTACCTATGTAAAAACAATTAGACCCTATTATTGTTCAACAAGTAGCCTCAAGACCCAACCCCAAATTCCTCATATGAGAACGAAGGCACTGCTATTCAACAATGCCAAAACCCTAAACCCTAATGATTTGCCTTACTAAACACAAAATTCTACCCAGATAGCTGACCACACCGTTTAGTGTATGAATTGAGAGTTCTTGTATCTCCTTTTCTCCTAGAAATTTGTTTTATCATACCAAGGGGCATATGCCCGAATGTGTAAAAAGAAAAGAAATCAAGGAATTCAGATCTAATGAAAACAAGAAAAAAAGGGAAACTCCTTTGGCGATCATCTTAGTCGAGATTACAGAAGGATACCTGCATAACTGTTGGTGACATCAACAGTGCCCTTGAAGGAGCTCCCAAGAAGAACCCCAATAACACGTTTCCGAGTATCCCTGGCGACTCTGTTGTAATTGTCGACGATGCTGAGAAGAACGAGAGGATGAACTATGACCTTCTCTATCGGCCTCGACGAGATCTGCTGTGTCTTAATAACATCCATTACCACTTCCTTCTTTGCCTTCGCTTCGATCTCCAGGAAACCCTCGACACCTTACGAATCGGGAGTTTTCTGAACTAAAAAACTCGGAACTAGAAATTATTATTATTATCGAATTAAGAAGAAGAAAAAAAGAAAAATAAATTAAGAAAAACCCCAATACAAGCAAGGAACAACCGAACAAGACCAACCAGAACCAAGCGGTCCACGGGTCCAGCCCCTTCGCCCAGCTACTTGGTAGTACCAAACATACTAGGGCCTGGTTTTCTGCTTCTCTATTTGGACCCGAGTTACCCTTATTTTATATGCGGAGACCATGCGATGCACGAGAAAATCTGAAAATTTGAATAATTTTATTTATTATTATTTAATTGATAAAAATATGGTATTTATTAAATATAAATTAAGTTTTATTAAATAAAAATACAGAGTTTATTAAATAATAATGTGGTATTTATTAAATAAAAATTCAATTTCCATTAAATAAAATACAGTATTTATTAAAAATAATACAGTTTCCAGTATTACCAGTATTTATTAATTAGCAGTATTTATTTAACTATTTATTAATGGCTTTTTAAATTTTTAATACTATTTATTAATTAATTACTGTATTTATTAACAGTAAATTTGCAGTGTTTTAATTAATTAACTGTATTTTAATATAATTATCAGTATTTATTAAATAAAGATATGTTATTTATTAAATAAAAATACTGTTAATTAATGAATTACTAATTTTTTATACCATATTTTTAATAAATGCAGTATTTTAATAAATCATGTTAATTAATTTTAATTACCAGTATTTTAATTAAGAGTATTTATTAATTAATTACAATGTTTATTAATTAATTACTGTATCTATTAACAGTAAATCATAGAGAGAGTTCAAATCAGCCCCCCACAATGTCCCACAGCACATCTCCGTCGTGTATCGGAAACATCTCCCAATGATAATATCCGGAGTGATGATGTCATCATCGGGAGATGTTCCCAATACACGGCGAGGATGTGCTGTGGGACATTGTGGGGGGCAGTTTTGTGGGGGCTGATTCGGTCTCCAGTATTTTAATATAATTACCAGTATTATCATAAAATTAGTAGAAATTACCAGTATTTATTAAATAAAATTATTTTAACAGTATTTTAATATAATTACCAGTATTTATTAAATAAATATATCGTTAATTAATGAACTACTAATTTTTGATATAGTATTTTTATTTTTTGATACCAAATTTTTAATTAATTTTAATTACCCATATTTTGTTTAAGAGTATTTATTAATTAATTACTATATTTATTAACAATATTTTAATTAATTAATAGTATTTTAGTATAATTTCCAATATTTATTAATGAGTAGTTTTATTTAACACTATTTATTAATGAGCAGTATTTATTATTTAACACTAATTACCATTAATTAATTAACAGTATTTTAATATAATTAGCAAAATTATCACTTAAAAAACTCTATCATAAATACACAAAATAGTAGAAGATAAAACGATACTACAAATTTGTTGAAAATTAACATTGGATCAGCCATTAGGAAAGTCACAACTCACAATGCTCGTTCTTGGTAGGGGTTAAACGTATCGAATTCGAATTGGATCAGGCAACATCCGAATTTGAATCCGATTAGAAAATTCGATATCCGATGGATATTGAAAATTAATATTCAAATTCGAATCCGATTAAATATTTGAATCAATTTGAATTCAACTAATTAATTATTTTAGGTAATTAATAAATTTATAAAATAAACATTTTATTCATATAAAGTATATAAATATATAATTTAATTATTATATATACAATATATAAGACACTTAAATGTTTTATATATTATACATAAGAATTAAATAATCGACTAAATTCGGATATTTATAGAATTGAATAAGGTTGAGAGTTAACCTAAGCCCAACCCTAAGTCTCAAAACTCGAGCTCAAACTTGGCCCAACTCAAGGTTAAACCCGAGGTTACCAACCCAAGCCCAACTTGAACTCAACCTAACATCTTAGGTTGGGCTTGGGCTTAGGTGTGTTGAGTTTTATAATCCACTTTTCTAGGTAGAATATATTGGTAATATGTAGATATGTATATCATAGAATGTTAGAAGGGCTCTTATTAGGTTAGGTCAAACCATGCCCAACTTGGGTTTAGGTTAGGCTTTAGCTTTTTGGCCCAAGGCTTGCTTAAAGTTCGAAAAATCAAGCCCAACCTGTTTAAAAGCTTTGGTGAGCCACTCAGTCTTAGGGTGGGACGACCAAAATTGCACCCCTAGCTCCTTTTTGGGACCACCAAAATGATATACTATGTATATCATAGTATAAGACCCACACTTTATTTCACCCTTTCTTTATTACTTTTTCAGGATTAGCAAGCATTGCAAACAAGATCCCTAAACCTTTAAATTTACCAAACTTACAGAAAATTGTTATCATGGAGTCTTGGAAAAATGGAAAGAGATGCTCTACTCTTTAAGGCTTGCTTTACACCTAATAGGAAACAATAAACACATTTGATTCAAGTCTTGGAGTTTTGATTCTCTTCCAACCTTCATCTTCATCCTTCTACTTTTCTACTCTCCACTCTCTAGTTTCTACCGCCTCAAGCTGCAAGTCTGCAACTCTCAAGGCTTCTTTCATCCACCATTACAAATGCTATTTTCCTCCTCTCTTCTCAACTCTCATTTTCTCAAGTCTCAAACATCACACTCACAAGTTAGTATTTTATTTTTTATTTAATATTTTTAAATTTTAATGCATGTTAAATGCGCTTATAATTTATAAAGTATAGACTTGTGTGTGAAAGACTGAAAGTCTATATATCCTCTCTTTATGCTCTATGAGGTTGTTTTTTTGGTAGAAATGCTCTGTGAGTTGGTGCTCATTGTTTTTCATTATTTCTTTTTACAACTCATTCATCATGAATCTTGAATTGATAGTAATCTCAGAAATAAATATTTAGTAAATAAATATCGATAAACCGACCGACTGAACTAATAAACCGACCTAAACCAATCCTTCATGTTTGAATCGCTTTTTGGTTGGTCGGTTTCAGTTTAGTGATTAAGTAACCCGACCAGATTGGATTGGTTGAACAAAATGATTTAAACCAACCCAACCTGACCTATGAACACCCCTACTCATCAGCTTCAAAAAATATTGTAATTAAGATTTTAAGTAATGAAGTTATATACTATTAATTTAAGTGTTTTTTATTAACCAAAGGCATTTATGGGTCGACCCTCACGTCTTATGAACATGTGAGTCGTTTATGACCTGCTTTACTCTTCTTCTTCATCCATATATTATAGGGTGCTCCAATGCAAAAATTAGATGTCATGTAAAGACCACATAAGAAATGGAAATATGTAAACTTAGTTCTACTACATCTGACACCCCGTCATACTTTTGCAAAATTGCCGGAAACCATCATTCTTCCAAAGGAACTTGATGATAGCTAGAGAAAAAAAACTATTGCAAAGCAAGATACATCGTACAATGCTTAGGTAGCTAGTAGTTGCAAAAAGAAGTATGAAAAAATAGAGAGAAGCATAAGAACGAAAAAAATCAAAACAAAGCGTTTTTTATGATATTGTAAAAAAGCAAAACTGACATATTTTTATACTCCTAAAGAGTGTGATGAGAGAAGTCCTCTTCTTCAAAAGGATGCTCAAAACGTATCTGCTAAAGGAGGAGACAATTAGGTGGTCATGTTTAGATTGAGTATGCTGTGAATGGGGATGTCCTGGTAGCACTTAAGATAGAGGTTCTAGTTTGTTTATGTCTCGAAGAACCTGTACTGAACGTATACTTCATATCAAATGGTTTGGCATCTCTGTTGAAGAAGGGAGACACACCAAACATATATTTCATACAAAATGGTCTAACACCCCTACTGAGGAAGGGATATGTCTTGAAGAATTATTGGAATAGGAAAGGTCTCTCACTATAGAGAAATCATCTACATTTTTTTTTCTCAACGGGGAGAGGAAATGGGATGGGGGAGAGAGAGAGGGGGGTTATTGGAACAAGAAATGTCTCTCTCTAGACATATTAGTGTTATTTTCTCTTAGGCTCCGTTTAGTTTGTGGGGTGGGGATGAGAAAAAGGGAATATATTTTTTCTCTCATTTGTTTCAAGGGAAATAGGGGGATGGGATGAGAAAAAATTGGGATGCGAGATCCCAAAATTGTGGTTTCGGTGCGACCCCAATGGAAAAACTCGAGAAAACACGAGTTTCTTCATCTTCATCCTCTGCCCCGCCGCTATTGCACCACCGCTGCCGCTAGTAACCGTCACCGCTGCTGGTAACCACCGCCACTGTTGCACCACCACCGCTGCTAGTAACCATCGTTGAAGATGTTTCCACCATGGTAGAACCCAGATCGATGCAAACACAGATCGAAGGCTTTCTGCCATGGTAGAACTTAGATTTGGGTATTCGCGAATCCAAATCGAAGCTTCAGTCATGAAGTTCTCTGTCTCTCCCTCCATTTTCTTATTCTCTCTTCTCCCTCACCTTCTGATGGAGGGTGATTTGGCCCGACCTCGTAGCACGGGTACACGTGGGCGTGACCTTGCTCCAGCGATTACTCAACGTGACAGCATAGCAAGCGTAACCGCAACTTGGAGGGAAGGTCCCATCGAGTTCAGCTCGGCAACTCGGCGGATAGGCTACTCGCTGGGAGCTGCCTAACCTGCACCTCCTCCCTGAGGCCAAGGCACCCCGGGTTGCCTCCGAGCTCGGGGCCCCCTGACCTTTCCTAATACCCGAGCTCCTCCCAGTGAACTTCAGGCCACTCCTAGACAGGAACACCCCGATCCGCCTCTAGGTACCCCGAGGTGAGGACACCTCGGGCTGAACAGCTCGGCATAGCTTACCACAGGCAGCTCGCCGCTTACGAGATAGCCCGACACAGGGTAACTCGTGAAAGAGTAGTTTGGCATATCACAGGAAGATCTCCTGCCCGACCACCGTACCCGACAAATCTGGGGACAACAACCACGTCCCTTGTCAGACAGTGTCGTGCTTGTCACCTTTAGGAGGTGCCTTACACCTGACAGGCACGTACCCTGCAATGA